GCTTTTGACTATGCGTATATAATACTGGGTCACGCCGTCTCACCTCTTGCACGTTCTTACCCCAACAAAGACAGTGACAGGTACAGCTCTCATGGACAAAAAAAAACATGTTCACCCTAATTCTTTCAAACTTTCAGTTTTAATTAATCAGTCATTTATATTGTCCCCTCAGCACTTTGGGCCGCATTATTAAAGTCACCCAGGAAGTCATTGACTACAGGGAGTGGATCATAAAGAAGTGGGGTGGCAGACACAACTCCCGCTTGGAGAGGACTCCAGGTACGTCTCAATGTGAAGAATTTCTCTGAATACATTTATTGACTGCAGATACTAGGTGGATTTCTTCTGTTTGTTTTTGATTGTACTTCTTAATGTCTCCCGGTGCAATAAGTTCTCATTGTTAAGGCATTAGATAGTCACTTATGTCCAGGGGTGGAGCGTGTTCCTAACGTTTTATTTACAGCATTTTAATGATGTCTTAAGATATTGCAACTCCTTGCAGGGCCACATAGATCCTTAAGAAAAGCCAGTCCCAGCCAGTCCTTATGTTTTGATGGCTTTTACATGCAGGTCCATCTCATAAAGACTCAGTGGATCAGGTGGAGACGGTCACGCTGCTGGGTGTAGGTGTGGAGGACCAGCAGCAGAGGGACTCTGTGTCCCCTCACAGCGCAGACTCTCCCATGTCCCTGTCCAGCCCTCAACAGCACTCGTCTGCCTCTTCTGCGTCCTCGCTGTCAGGCAGCGATATCGTAAGCAGCATCCTTCATCTGTGTCCATACTTTAACCCTATAAAGCCTACTCAAGTGTATCGTATTTATGCCAAATTATCCTTTCATAATCTGATTAAGTTAAAACTTTTAGCAACTAAAAGGACTTTAGTGTAATTATAAAAGTCAGTAATGCTTTCACAGAAGAAAAGACGTGTACAACGATCTTAAAGGAGTATTTCACTTTTAAAAAACTTTTGCTGATCTTTTACTCACCCCCATGTAGGGTTGGGTATCGAGAATCGAGTATCGATTGGAACCGAGACTAACTTTTCGTTTTTCCCGGAATCGTTCAAAAGTAAAAATTTCGATTCCTAGTTTCGATATTCACAGTCCGGCGAGCGGAAGAAGAAATCGCTGAACAACACCAACGAAGAAGCGTCTACCGGAAGTGTTGGCATAACCACGCGAGTCGAACATGAGTAGCTTACGTCGACGATCCAAAGTGTGGCTTCACTTTTCTAAAAATAACGAAATCTCGGCAAAATGCAAAATTTGTGACAAAAGGAGTATTTTTACAGAAGGAGTATTTCCTTCAGAAAGGCCGTTGGTTAGCAAGGTTAGCTAAACTTTTTTGACCCTGCCTCTTAAAAGAATCGGAATCGAGAATCGTTAGGAACCGGAATCGAAACAAGGAATCGGAATCAGAATCGTTCAAATTCAAACGATACCCAACCCTACCCCCATGTCATCCAAGATGTCCACGTCTTTCTTTCTTCAGTCGAAAAGAAATTAAGGTTTTTGATGAAAACATTCCAGGATTTTCGAGGTGGATCAAGCGAAACGATCGCTAATTAAAAAAAAAAAAGCTCAAATGATCAAACTACATAAAAAAAAAAAGGTTCTTTCATATGTTAGACTTTACAGGGCTAATATGCGTTAGATTGTCATTCCCTCTCACATAACTGACTTCTGCTCCTCCAGGACTCTGACTCCACACCGTATGTCACTCCACCTGTAGCCCCCTTCCCTCTCCAGATTCTGCCGCCGGGACCCCTGTCATCAGCGCTTCAGATGGGCACGGGCAAAGCCAGCATCACGGCAGCACTCACCATGCCTCCGGCCACCCAGGTGAGGGGCGATTTTGGTTTGATAGCCAGATTTTTTTGTGATGTGTGATGATGACACTGGCATGTTCTTGAATCCAACTTCCCCTCTCTCTTGGTTTCTGTAGGCGAGAGTGCCAATCCCAGGCAATCTTCCTCTCCACGCTCTACCTGGCAGACAGGTGTGTATGGCAGATGGACCACCCCCATACCTCCACATGCCCCCCCCTGCAGTCCCCCCAGCTCCCCCCAGCCCTCTACCCAGTCCCCACCATCATCCAAAGGTAGGCTGTCCCATGTGCGCTCTCCTCTATATGCTGTATCTTGACAGTGAGCCCAACTTTCCCTCCTTCATCCAGACTTCAGACTAGCTTAATGACAGGATAAGGTAAAATTATGAAATTTAATGCCCACATTGGTGTTATGGGAAGCATTCAAAAAGACTTTAATCTTTCATCAATTTAATAACTTGCTCTGTATGTATATATTTTTGTAATTAATATTAGAGAAACATTACATTTAAATTAAACACTTTTCATAATAAATATCATTTAATTTTTTTTGTCTTTAGCTGATCACATACATGAGGATTCCATAATTCATTCACATGTTGTACTTTTTTTTTTTTTTTTTTTTTTTTTTTAAGATGCGCCAATCCCTTTCATACATTTAGTAGGTAGGGTTTTAATGTTCAACAAGGATGCATTTAATTGATCAGAAATACAGTAAAAAATGTATTGATTTCTATTTGATTATTTATATATATTAGGGCCGTGCAAAAATTAATTGCGATTAATCGCATCCAAAATAAAAGTCTGTGTTTACATAATATATTTGTGTGTGCTGGCCTGTATATAATTATTTTGTAGATATAAATGCACACACATGCATGTATATATTTAAGAAAATGTGTTATTCATATATAAAATATTTATATAATACAGATTATGTATATATATATATATATACACAGAATTTAAGCGCAAATAATTCTTAAATGTATACATGCATGTTATTCATATATAAAATATTTATATAATACAGATTATGTACTTGTGTATATATATATATATATATATATATATAATTTAAGTGCAAATAATTCTTAAATATATACATGCATGCATAGGTATTTATATATAGAAAATAATTATATACTGCACACACAAATATATTATGTAAACACAGACTTTTATTTTGGATGCGATTCATCGCAATTAATTTTTCCACAGCCCTAATATATATATATATATATATATATATATATATATATATTTTTTTTTTTTTTTATGTCATTTAGTCGTCAGCAGCCATTACTCCAGTCTTCAGTGTCACGTGATCCTTCAGAAATCATTTAATCTGGTGATTTTCTGCTCTAGAAACATTTCTATAAATGTTGAAAACCGTTGTGCTGCTTAATATTTAGATGAATTTTGTTCATATCTTTTGATAAATAAAAAGTTAAAAAGAAAAGCATTTTGAAATGGATATTTTGTAACCTTATCAATGTCTTAATGTAATTAAACGCTGAACTTTAGAATGGTAGTGCATTTGTATTTTAAATTATGTATATTTAAAGGGGTCATGGACTGGCTTTTTAAATTTTATTATATTGTTGTCTGAGGTCAACTTATGACGTTCGCTCGGTTTTTGCATTCAAAAACATCAAAACGAAAAAGTAATAGGTTATTTTGTACCCAACTCGTAAGCCTACCTTGGACTTGGAAGTAAACGCCCACTGCTGTGAGTGGATGGCTTTTATTGGACTAACAAGGACGTTTTCAGTTCTGAAACTTACAGGATATTCTTATAATATGATGAGCTCAAAGAAAATTTGATTTCTCTCTTCATCACCCCTTTAAATCCAGTTTTTATATTTTTCTGTGCCATTTTTTTCCAGATGCTAGCATGATTGTAAGTTCCCCTATCTTGCCTTCTCTCCAGCAGACAGGTCCCAAGTTCCCTCTGAAGGGCTTCCACAATCCCGCCGTGGTGCACAGTCCCGTCCTTTCAAACCGAAACCACATTCAGTACAACCGCAACACCTGGCGCCGCAGGAAGAGAGACAGTCTGCCAGCTAGCGTCAGCAGATAAAGACGACGGCGCTCCCATTGGTCCCATCTTAAAACGATGAGAACTCATTTAGCCCTCCTACTGATGGTGTGAGCACAGAGAGGCCAGCGGTTGAAACCCAGCTCCTCGTTCAGTAGTTGTGGTGATGGTGGTGCTAAGTAGTTCAGTCTGCCACTGAATCTGTGCATGTATATGTTGAGACTTTTGTTTTTTGACCTGTGTAATCTTCCTGAGGAAGCTTCGAGAACAGGAACTGTTTTTTCGGTCGTCTACTCCACAACTTCCAGGTTGACAGGTGAAACGTTCCTTTTTTGTGCGTGTTTCATGCTTCACATTTTTGGTCTAAACGTGACACCCTTCACTTGTGGGACGAACTAGATTCAGTGGATTTCAAGTGTTTGTTGTATCGGGTGAGGATGTGTGTGTGTGTGTGTCGCTGGCTTCAAATTCTGCACTCAACATGCTTCCAGAGACCCCCACCGTATTGACTGTATACATCACGCAACCTTTACTTTTTTGTGCAATAACTTCTTAATTTCTGTATTTTCCTTCACTCTGGAAACATATTTAATTTCTTTTTTTTTTTTTTGATTGTTTTTGTGTCCAGCCTTTTTGTTTGTCTGTTTGTTTTGTAAAAATGTTTTTATTTTTGTAATGTTTTTAATTTTGTTCATCGTTTACAGATCCTGTCAGACAGGCTCCTTGTGGGGGAAAAAAAAAGTCTGTTTTAAAATAGTTTTTTGAGAGTTTATATTCCCTCTTCCCCGTTTTCTCGGCATAAATTGCACCTGGACGAGAGCAAGTTAAAGCAGCCAGTTTAGATCTCGCAGAACGACTTTCCACTCTTTACCAACAGGTGTCGCCATTTCTCACTTTCTGTGTTCCACATTGAGCTTCAGAATCTCAGCTGTTGCTTTTATTTGTCTCGTTCGTTTGTGCCATTGAGGCTGTTGGACTCGGGGTTTATCAGATTGAGCACTCGGTCCTAATGCGCTTTCATTTATGTGTGTGTCTGTCCTTTTTAAGTCACTATAGGTAAGTGTGAGACGTGAATTATTTTAGGGAAGCTCTAATGAACGTGCGAGAGGACTCCAGATCAGTGCAGCTTTATGCAAGGTGCCCTTATCGGACCTAGTTCGACTTCTGAACGGGCACCCGAATCAGACTAGCGGAGAAAGGGAATTTATTTTGATTCCTTTCTGGAATCTTGACGTGCATTTATTGCCAGGTACTTGCGCTAATATATGCCTTTTTGGTAATAACCTATTCGTGTACTGTATTGAATTGAATTTTTTTTTGTGTTCCGTTTGTATATGGCACACTAAAACTGTATTGCTGTTGCTCAGAACGTCACAGGCATACAGGTTATTGTTACTATGCAAGTGGAGTTTTGAAATCTCTTCCTGTGTCCCTCATGATGGCCATTTGCTTGTAAATCTTGTCAAGAAACTAAATCTCGGAGATCGACGCACATGTGAACAGTTCCTGTATGCGAGTTCAGACTGTTTTAATGGTGGAAAAACACCTGGACGTCTTGTCTGGAGTTTTTGCAATGCAAATATTTCCTCCTGGAGATCAACCGGACTACATTTACTGCTGTTACAACGCTACAACCATGTCCTGCAGTCTATATTGAATGACTTTGACTTGTGTGATGTGTTTTACAAAGTCATATCTGATACAGAGACTGTGGATTGTCCTGAACTCTTGACTCACCCGCCTATCAATGCAATAGCTAATAGCAGTTTCTGCTTTTAGATAGAACCAGCATCTTTTGCGAAATGAGTCAGACATTGAGGCAACTCTCCCCCTCCTTTCAAATAAGAACCTACTTCATTGGTGATTTGTCTAAATGAAAATGGCTCCGTTTTTCCTGAGTGAATCTGTAGATGTGTTGGTTGGAAAGGTGGATGTATTTCACTCTGTAATGGTTTGACCCTTTTGAGGTGATGTACTGCTTGATACAGTGTGACACTCCTCATTGAATATCAATGATGGATTTTAAATGTAACTTTTTTTCTTTTCTTTTTTTTTGCTGAAGTCTGTCATGTCGCAGTGGCCAAAAGCACTGACCTGAACTTGTCAATCCGTATACTGAAAGCCCTCAATGTGGCCGCCAAGCATCCAAGAGGTCAGACGGAGGAATTGTTTTTGTTTTCCTTCAATATTTTTATGTATTTTTTTTTTCTATTTTATTTTTTAAATAAACATCTTAAAACCATGCATGCAGTTGCTTGTTCATTGTCAAAATTTAAATCATGCTTTACAGCTCAGCACTGAGCTGTTACTGGTTTTACCACTAGATGGTGAGCTTGCACTTCAGAGATCTTCTGGTAATAAAACCCAAAGGAGAGTTGATAAATTGCTAATAAGTACTTCTATTAACTTTTTTCTAATAAGGACTTCTACTCTCTTACTAACAAAAGAGAGAAGTTCGCTTTTTTTTTTTGGAGTGAAATGAGTTCTGGTTGGACTCAATTGTGCTCCTGTCACTTGTAATTCTTTCTGCTCTGACAGTGGACTTTGCTTAATGGACCAGACGATGATGAGGAGGAGACTTTTATGGCAACTAGGCCAAATCTTCAAAGATTCATTGGAAAGCTCTCATCTATCAGCGCAGGTGCACAAAGATAAGTCTTTTCAAGTCTAGACATGATTGCTGTGACGTTTATTTGTGACATGTATTTTTAGCTGCAGGGATAAAACACAAAGCAGTTAAATTAACTGATGACACCTGAATTTCAATTATTTAAATTTCAACAAAACAACCATCCAACCAGATACCATCACTGACTGTTTGTTACTTAGTATCACTGACATAAGGAGTGAAAAGAGTCAGGATAATTGCCTCGATATCCAATAATCCAATTAATTCTTCCTCGTCACGCCACCGGTTTGAACGTGGCAACCTAAAAACAAAAGACTTTCTCGAAGGAGATTTCAGGAAATTGCTGCTGTTGCTCCCAAATAAGAATTAGCTTGTTACACACACACACACACACACACACACACACACACACATTATATATATATATATATATATGTTAACTGAAATAAAATAAAATATAAAAAACTGTATGTACTGAAATAACTAAAACAAAAACTATAATAATATCCCAGTGGAGTTACAATTACACTGGCATGTTACTGTTGGAGGAACATACTTTAACTTAAGTTTAATATGCTTACTGATATAATATTTTATTATTAAAGAGACGGTTGGCCTTACATATTATATTATTAGAATATATTATAGTAACCAGACAGTTTCTGGTCTCATTGACTACATAGTAGCCTAGGCTATATATTTTTTTTTCCTACTATGGAAGTCAATGAGACCAGAAACTGTCTGGTTACTGATATTCTTCTAAATATCAGAAAATCGGCTGAATGGATCTGAAAACGGTAAAACTCAACTGTTTAACTCTGGAGGAGTTGTAAAATGAGCCTATTTCCAAAAATAAAAAAAATAAAGTGGAGTATCCCTTTAATTTCAAATCAAACCTAACTGAAATTGACTCATGATTCACTGGGGAAGTCGGTTGAGAACACAGTAAAGATTCACTGTGATTCATAAGCAGGTTCAGGTTCATGAATCAAATGATTCATTACAATGAACCAGCTCATAACAGTCATTTTTTGGGGGGGTGAATCGGACATTGTGGCTCATGCTGTGTCTCCTGCAGGAAACACTGACACTTTACTCCACCTTGTGAGTTGGTGTTTGATAAAACCCAATAAAACCCACAAAACGTTGCCAACTCTTGCCAATGGCAGCTAGATTTGAAATGATTTTTAGTCACAGCCTGCAAGCTTATATTACATATTTAATTGAAAATGGCATTGTTTTCCTACCACTTTCCTCCGTGTTGTTCATTTCTGAAACATAAACAAATGCATGACCATGTTAAAATGGCATCAAATTATCCAATTGCAACTTTGAAAGAAACATGTTACATCAAAACATGATGTGAAATCACGAGGAAACATCAACTGGAGCGAACTTAATGTTAGGGGTTAGTGAGTGACCCAAGGAATGCAATTTGCTTCTATTAGCTGCTAAATTCTGAAGCAGATGTGTTTGCCCGTGCATAGGCCTGGCTATTCTAAAGAAAGGTACAAAAGTTTGAGGTTGGTTGGATTTTAAATGAATGCATCAGTGCATGTAGAGTTGCAATTTTAGCATTACTGGTGTACATACTCATAAGAAACAATCCATGATGTGACTGCCTTACTATGCAATATGTGCTTACAACAGAATATGCACATATATTAGAAAGCTAATATATTATCACACACAATGTTTCATTATTCCCTGCTCCCATTCTGTCTTCTCCACCCGGCAGATGTTATGCATCACTTCACAGTTACAGGAAGAAAAGAAATAACCACTGGGACATGTTCAAATTACCTAAGGTGTGTCTAACAAACAAGAAAATGTATCCCGACAAAATGCTTCCAGCTACCCGCCTCATTAACTCTATTCTGAATTCTTCCTCCTCATGTTGTCTTGTTGGCCTGTTTAAGATCTATTTTTAGCTCTTTGTTGAGAACTTTGGAGACACCTACCTTTTTTTACTTTCCTAAATGTCCTAAACCCCCCAATCAAATGGTCAGATTGTTTCCAGCCCTTTTCAGCTTCCACAATGGTCGGTTTAACAATGGTTTAGCTGTGGAATTTGCCTCTTGACCTTTGTATGGATCCTGATAGATTGTCTGACTTCATTGACCTTTCAGCTTTCATGTGGGCTTTCTGTCCATATCGAGAGGATGCATCGTGCAGTGACTTGTAATGACCAGTAATGATTTGGGGGAATGTGAGATTACAGGCAAATTCTGGTTTGAGCATCTTCAGATTCCTGCAGTCTGTCCTTGCAGATAAGAGGCTCTTCAGGCAGATTATTACTGAGATGGAAGACTCAAGTAGGGAATGAAGTATTAAAGAACATGAGAAGTTAGACTTTCAAACCCACCAGACATGGTGCTGTGACTCCCTGTCTGAATGACTTACGCTGCTGCTTTCAAGAAGTTCACCTTCATGACCTTCCAAACCTGTATGGTGATATTTTTGAATTTACAAATTAGTTATTTACGAATATTTATGCAGCTCTTCACAAATAGCCTACAGTTGACTTTATTAGTACTAGTAGTCCATAATACTTATGAGCTCATTTCCAAATCTTCTGAAAAATAGAATTAAGTGAGGTGGAAAAAAATGGAATAAGTCATATTTCACTTATAATCTTCCACGCCAGAAAGCTCTTTAATCAAAAGCAGTGACCGGTGTCAGTGAAATGAACTCGTGAAACAGATCAGTGATTACATTGTCCTTTGAGCCGGTTTTTTTTTATATACGTCATACTTAATTGGTTCATGATTCGGGGCGTCACTAGGCCCTTTTTCGGCTAAATTTATGCATAGCCCCCCTAAAAATTTGTGATAAATATGCTACACAAATTCGTGTTCGCTTCAGTCTTGTTTTAATCAGATTCAGCGCGTTCTACATCTTCAATCCGCAGTAGCGCCGAGCAGAGAGCACGTCAAAAAGAGAGGAAATTGTGCGTGTGTTCATTTGAGCCCATTGGTCTGTCAGTGCTCGTCAATGTCAGAATATTTGAGATGACCAATCAAATCAAAGTAGGCGGGCTTTACAGCACATTCAATTTCACAGAAGCTGAGCGCGAATTTTAGCAGCACGACTCGACTTCAGTGCACGGGCAAGGGCGAGATGTAAGTAGCAAAACTTATAACGTTGTATATTTGACAGTTTTTTGAGGTCATAAATGTTAAACGAATGATAAAAAAAAATAATCAGGAAAACTAATATAGTTTCATCTAATTTCGCCCTTTTGAACTGAAATTAGTCATGTAACGTCAGCCTAATGTAGCCTAATAATTTCTTTAATGTCATTGTGAGACAAGAAACGTTAACAAATCCGTTTTCATCATGTAAGGTAGCCTACATGATTAATAATGAATGCATATTGAAAATATAATACAAATTGTAGCCTTTAGTAAATAAAAAAAAGCTCAGCTTTAGGATGGGGAGAGAAAGGGCACGATGAGGAGACAAGCGAGATGAGGAGAGAGCAGGTATTGACAAATCTACTGACATAGTTTTAAAGTTTTATTTCTTGTTTTTGGTCTTCAAACGTCTTGAAATGCACATATCAGAGATTAAAAAATGTAACCCCCAAATCTCCACCTCAAATGTAGGACTGATTATAGGCTAAAGCCCTGTCCACAGCCCAGTATAGGCATCAGAATCAGAAAGCGCTTTATCCCAAGTGTGCTTTTTTTACAAAACTGAAAAGCCTAATTATCAGTCAAAGCTCAACTTTAGGAGGGGAAGAGACAGGGCAAGAGAAAAACAAAAAGAAGAGTGTGATGCTGATGAGGAGAGAAAAATAATCAGCTGCCCACTGACGTGGTTTTATCAAAAAAAAAAAAAAAATGCCTTCAAAACATCTTAAAATGGACATAATAGTTCAGAGAATTCAAATTTTTCAAAAACTACCACAACTCAAATTCAGGACAGTGATTATAAAACCCTGCAACTGCATGGTAATGAAAGTGAGCATTAGACCCTAAATTAAACTTTTACCTTTTTTTTTTTTTTTTAATCATACCCTCATTGGGGGCTAAAAAGGAAAATCCTAGAATCGCCCCTTCATTCTTCTCACTGGCTCAAATTTACAATAACTGCAGTTTTCTTTCCTGTGTTGTTAATGTATTTCCTGTTAAAAAAGGAAGTTTGGGGAGCTATTTTTTGTAACGTAGCTGATAGTTTTTAGTTACGTCATAATTTGTTGATCTGATTATCTGATTTGAATTAAAATCGAGGT